CTCTCACCGCCTCTCCCCCCGTCTCTCCCCGCCTCTCAGGTGTACAAGAAGACGCACATCACCAAACAGCAGCTCAAGACGGCCGTCACGTGCCAGCGCGAGAACCCGTTCTACATCGACACCGTCAAGGCACCTGAGATACGGGGAGAGATGGGGAGACTATGGGGAGAGATGGGGAGAGCCCGTTCTACATCGACACCATCAAGGCACCCGAGATACGGGGAGAGATGGGGAGACTATGGGGAGAGATGGGGAGAGCCCGTTCTACATCGACTCCGTCAAGGCGTTCCGCACATCCCATACCCCCACGGTACCCGTCGCCACTCCCCTACCTCCCACGGTACCCGAACCAAAAGGCGTTCCGCGACCGGCGGTACGAGTACAAGGGGAAGAACAAGGAGTGGAGCAAGCGGCGCGCGCAGGCGGAGGCCGACGGCGACGCGGGCGCGCTTCTCGAGTCCAAGGCGACGTGCACGCGGCGCGACTCTAACTGCCACTCCTCACCACTAATGCACACGAGTTCACACTGACTAGGCGATGTGCACGCTGTACGACTCGCTGCAGCTCGCCCACAAGTACGCATCCTCACAACGTCGACATCTCCCCCTCTCTCGCTGCATCTCCCCCTCTCTCGCTGCATCTCCCCCTCTCTCGCTGCATCTCACCCCTCTCTCGCTGCATCTCCCCCTCTCTCGCTGCATCGCACGCACAAGTGACATCCTCAACTCTGCTCACCATTCCGGGCGACCTCGGGCGACCTCGGGCGACCTCGGGCGACCTCGGGCGACCTCGGGCGACCTCGGGCGACCTCGGGCGACCTCGGGCGATCTCGGGCGATCTCGGGCGATCTCGGGCGATCTCTCAGGTGCATCCTCAACTCGTTTTACGGCTACGTGATGCGGCGCGGCGCGCGGTGGTACTCGATGGAGATGGCGGGGGTGGTGACGTACACGGGCGCCGGCATCATCAAGGAGGCGCGCGTCCTCGTCGAGAAGATAATAATAGTAAATAGTAATAGTAATAGTAATAGTAATAGTAATAGTAATGTAATAATAACAATAATAATAATAATAGTAATAGTAATAGTAATAGTAATAGTAATAGGCGCGCGTCCTCGTCGAGAAGATCGGCAAGACCCTCGAGCTAGACACGGACGGCATCTGGTGCGTGCTGCCCGCCTGCTTCCCGCAGAACGTCGTCGCCACGACGCGCAGCGCAAAGAAGCCGAAGGTGTGGCTGCCTCCCGCCCGCGCGGCGCCGCTCCATCAAGAGTGAGTGAGGCATGGCGAGCGACGCGTTGCCGGCAGGTTGCCATCTCTTACCCGTGCGTCATGCTCAACGTCGACGTCGACCGCAACAACCACAACCCGCAGTACCAGACGCTCAACCCCGAGACTGGCGCGCCCGACAAGCAGCGACGTGACGTCGCCTCTCCACCTCTCCCCACACATCGCGGGTACCTACCCCAGATACCACGGGGTTGGCCCCGCACCACTGGACTCGAGACCTCTGGTGGCATGGGAGTAGGCGCCTTCTACGAGGACGCGGCGGCGACCCTCCACTCAACGCCGAGGGAGCTGCTCACGCTGCAGGAGGGCGAAGCGCCCGGCGAGCTGACGGCGTGGGTGCTGC